AATGATATACAATAGGATGAATGTAAAACTAATGTTCTCCTATGTAAACTATCACATAATTCACAATAAAACATTTAAAAAAAAAGAGCTGTAGTAAGAATTCTTCTTCTTTAGCTGTTTGGCTTCCATAACCAGAAAAAAGCAAGACAGGGATACTGTACTCAAGAACAATTCAAAGATACTTACTTCAATTCCGTGAAAAACAAATTAATATGATTTACAGAGTCTATCTGTTTTATGAAGGTTTCCACGTTCTCAAGAAACACCTACCCCCAAAAAAGAGGAAAGACTATGTTAGTTCAGATTATATTAGTTCAAGGCTAAAGGGAGCGTGAAGAAATGTCACATTTGAAAGTCACCTTAGGGTTATGGTCGTGAAGCAGGTTGAGATTAATTCTTAATTTTCTCATGCATTCAAAGGCTTCTTTAAACATAAGTCTGTGAGAAGACAGAGAATATTTCCATTATTATAAAAACCAGTTAGAATCAGATTATAACTGAAATGCCAAAGAGAAAAATACTACTAGACTTCCCCCCAAATCACAGACGGAAAAACTTAGGTGTCAAGCTCAAGTAACTTCTGAAAAGTAGTGATTTCATCATCATGGCAGTCTGAAAAACTAGAGTTCCATCTACATAAAACAGAAAATAATTGTGTTTTAATGAAAATATTAAGAAAGATGTCTCTAATACAAAGCTCCCCCAATTAGACTCAAACAATGCATCACTTCCCTGGTGACAGTGGCTCAGGTCTTTTGATACTCCTAGATGGGAGCATGGAGGCTCTGTAGGATAACACTGAACTCTGAACACAGGTCAGCAGGTCAACCTCACCAGACGTTCCTCAGGAGAAAGATGAGGCTTTCTATTCCCACAAAGATTTACAGCCTCGGAAACCTGATACAGGGTGGCTATGAGTTGGAACAAATTCAACGGTACTTAACAACAACATGGGGCCCTCTGTGGGTGGCTTTATGAAACCATTTCTATAATTCTTTGTGCTCATATGTTTTCTATATCAGACAGCCAGACAGTGAAAACATGAGAGATTACAAAACAAAAGCCAATAGGAATCTGAATGAAGACATAGGTAATCAGTTTCTCAAACTTTTAAACTAAAAAAATTATAATAAAAACATGGCTTTCACATTCAAGTCATAATAATAAGCTAACCAGCCATATAAACAGGCACTTACTTGTCCAACCACTTCCGAATCTGAGCTAAGACCAGGGCTCGATGATGAACAACTTCTAAATTTCCTCTTGGCATCTGAAAATAAAATAAATAAAAGCCATGTTAAAAAAACAAAACATTAAAAAAATGTGACTATGCAAACATACAATTTTATCTCCTAACTCTTCATAGAGAACTACCACAAACCTGTAAAAGGAAAACACTTTTAGGTGAGTTCAGTTGTGCTCAATACTTTTTGATTTTATGAGAAGCTACTTCTTTAGCCTTACTGGGCTAACATTCACTTGTCCAAAGCTAACAGAGAATCTCCCAAGGAAAGGCTCATCTAAATGATTCCGAAAGACTTGTGGTTGCTGAGTGCCGTAGAGTCAGCGCCAACTCACAGTGACCCTGTATGGAGTTTCCAAGAAGCATCTGCTGGATCTGAACTGCTGATTCTGTGGTTCGCAGTCCAGTGTTGATCCTACAGTTCCACACCAGGAATCCTCCAAAAGACTACAGAACCTAAAAACATTCTGCAATAGTTCTAGTTGGTATCCACTGCCCAATGACAATCAGGAGGACAGTCTTAAAAATCAGCTTACCTGTAATATGACCTTTGTGTCCTGGGGCACAACAGTGACAATGCGGGAACCCCTCTCCACCTTCCTCAGCATCTCTTCATTAGACATATTACTGCTGCTCAGACCTGCCTGTAAAGCTAGAGACAACAAACTGACTAAGCCATAAGAATCACTTTCAGGACAAGACACTCTCCATTAATCATTAATCGCACTTGAAAGTGAACATATTATCCAAACTAGAACAGTCTTTAACTATTAGGAGTATCTTACTTCCAGACTTGACCTCAGGGCAGTTACCCTATTAAATCACCTCATCCCTGGGACTTGCCCTTTCTCACAGTGCCCTCATGAAAACAAGTATGTTGTTGTTGTTGTTAGGTGCCACTGAGTCGGTACCGACTCATAGCGACCTTACGCACAGCAGAACAAAACACTGTCCACCTGGGCCAACCTCACAAATTGTTGCCACGTTTGAGCCCATTGATGCTGCCACTTGGCCAATCCATTTCACTGGGGGTCTTCCCCTTTTTCTCTGACACTCCACCTTACCAAACATGATATCCTTCTCCAGAAACTGGTCACTCCTGACAGTATGTCCAAAGTATAACAGATGAAGTTAGGCCATCCTGGCACAGATCGTTTTTTGTTTTTTTCTCTCTTCAACACTTTAAAAAGGTCTTGTGCAGCAGATTTGCCTAAAGCAATACATCACTTGATTTCTTGACTCCTGCTTCCATGAGTATTGATAGTTGATCCAAGAAGAATGAAGTCCTTGACAACTTCAATCTTTTCTCTGTTGATAAGAATGTTGTTTATTGGTCCAGTGGTGAGGATATTTGTTTTCTTTACATTGAGATGCAATCCATACTGAAGGCTGTGCTCTTTGATCTTCATCAGTAAAGATTTTAAGTCTTCTTCACTTTCAGCAAGCAAGGTTGTATCACCTGCATATCACAGGCTGTTAATGACTCTTCCTCCAATCCTGATGCCACGTTTTTCTTCATAGAACCCAGTTTCTCGGATTATTTGCTCAACATACTGGTTGAATAAGTATGGTGAAAGAATACAACCCTGTTGCACACTTTTCTTAATTTTAAACCATCCAGTGTTCCCGTGTTCTGTCCGAACAACATATACAACATCTCAAGCGATTTGGAAAAACAACAGGGAGGTTTGGGCCAGCTTCTCCATTTCTTAGCATATCAGTGTATTACAATGACATCATTCAAAGATAGAATTCCGGTTTCCAAGGTAGAAATAAGGGAAAGAAGTGGGTGTCTTTTGATGTGGCATAGAGGGAGACCACAGTGAGAAAAGAGAGAGAACTCAGAAGTTAAAGCATAATGCTACTTTGACAGTAATTATGTAGTAAAATTTCCTGAAAATGTCTTGTTTAGCTTTATAATGAGCTGTTTACAAAAGGAATCTTTCTCTACATGTTTTTGCTAACAAGTATAGAATGATTCAACTGAGATATGCTATTGAGATTACACGCTAAGCAAATAAACTCCAAAGATTTTCTCTAGAATTTTATGATACTAAGCCAAAGTATTTTAAACAAAACCAAAAGTCTTAAAAGTCAAAAGACAAAGATATTACAAGAGGGATTATTTCTATTTTATACACTGAAAACTTACTTTTAAATGAGGTATCTCTCAGGCACAAACACTGACAGGTGTGGGAATGGGTTGTCAACAACAAAAATTCATCAGACACTGCAAATGATGTAATATTTGATGCAACCTGCAACAAGACAAGGGAGGTAATGGGGGTAATGGGGGATTTAGCAATATTACTTGGAGAAATCACCATGAAAAGGACATAGTGCCAAACCAAGTTTTTATACCTCAGTGTCATTGATAAAAAAGCGACATCTGTCAGTCAGACCAAGGATACATTCCTACAAAGAAACAAAATTGTAATTACAAAGAATTCTACTCAAAACAAAGTTAAACCTAATGTTTCTATTGATTAGATCAATGGCCCTACGATTTCTCACCTAGGTCCTTGTAGTCAGGACAGGATACAGTGAACCAATATGTAGCTGGTCCAGTGCAGCCTGGATTATGATGGCATCTCATCCACCAGCAAACTTGTTGTATTACTTCCTAAGTCTATCTCAAATACATCCCTGTTCCCTCCCTCACCATCTCCACTCCAGCAGTCTCTTTGCTGGTTCTTCCTTCCATGTGCCCTTCTCTGACTCTCCACAGACAACCAGAATCACTTTTCCAACCATGAAGCAGACCATGTTACTCCACTGATTTTGTCAATTATCAATAACTTTAAAATCTTTAAAAAAATCGTAATAATCAAAACTCCCTTGTACATCCTATCACTCCAGCCACACTGCCTTTCATTCCTTGAATAAGCTGAGCTCTTTCCAAGCTAAGATGTTTATAGCTCCTTCTTCCTGAAACACTCTCTTTCTCAGGAATTAATCCTTGTATTTTCTCACATCTCAGCATACACCACTTCAGAGACCCACTGCACGTAATCTCCCCATAGCTGCTGCTGGTGGTGGTTATGTGCTGTGGAGTTGGTTCTGACTCAAAGCGACCCTGTAGAAGGTTTCCAAGGCTATAAATCTTTACAGGAGGATAAAACCTCATCTTTCTTCCATGGAATAGCTGGTAGTTTTGAACTATTGGCTTTGAGGCTGGCAGTCTGACTTGTAACCACCACAATCTCAGAGCTACTATCCCCTTATAATCCCTAAGCAACCCACAATTCTTTATACTGTTCATTTCCTTCTCTCTCTAATCTTTAGAGTCCCGGTGTGGCGCTGTAGGATAAGCACTAGACTGGGTATCACAAGGTCCATGGTTTGAGTTTGCCAGTTGATCTATGGGAGAAAGACAAGGCTTTCTGCTCCTATAAAGATTTCCAGCCTCAGAAACACTATACAGGGTTACTATGAGACAAAACTGACTCAACAGCACTTAACAACAAGAGCTTACCATGGGGGAAATGTCTACACTGATAGACTCTAAGTTCCAGAACAGATGTATTAAATCACTATATCCTACAACCCACCACAATTATAGTTATTGTTGTGTTTGTTGGATGATCAGCTACTACATATCATTTTTGAGATTTTATTTGTCCATAAAAGGTATTCAATAAAACCAACTTTGAATTTTCTGTATAACTGAAGATATAAGTTTGACAATTGCAGTTTCCTACTTTTGAACTTAAACTTCCAAGGGTAGGGATAAAATAGCTACTACATTCCAGGTAATTTCTCAATCATGTATATCATTTCATTTACTTTCCCCCTAAATCCTAATCACAGATATTGACCTATGTTACAGGTGAAGATGAGGCTCAGGACAGGAAGATAAGACACCTTGGATATAGTGGAGAGCTAGCTAGGGTCCCAATGGGGAGCCTCCTCCAAACCCCAGGGTCTTTCTAACTAACATCATCAGAAGTGAGTGTTCACATACCTCATCTGCAATCATGGCTAGTTCAGTCTGCACACATGGATAAGGAAACTGGACAGGAACTCCCCCAGCATTCTTCCATGGTTTAACAGCCAGAGAAGATGACTCTGCAGGATTGGTAGGTCTGGTTTACCAAGAGCTGATCTGCTCTTTGTAGAGAATCCTTAACATCAACAAGCACTAAAACACTTAACTTGCAATTTAGATCATTTTCCAAAAGTAATGTGGAAACTCACTAGGCTGTTTCAGTTCATTATAAGGGAAAACAGGGGTAGGATACACCTGTCAATTCCTCACCATAGCTTAGGGTTTCCCAGGGTAGTTAAAAGACATAACAGTCAATGCTACACTGACAAAATTCTCACAAGAACTGGAAATGTGTGTAAGTCAGAACCAAACTTCCGGAACACTTTGATACTCACCCCAAAGGCACTTAAATATCTGGCCATCAGCCAGCTGCAATGCTACTGACTTGGTCTTGGAACTGTAACACAGACTGATTACGATCCCGTCCACTGTCACAGATGAGCTGACAAAAAAAAAACAGAAGAGGGGACGAAAAGGGGGACATGAATAGACCATTTATTCTAAAAAGCAGAGATATGTCACTGATTTTGCAAAACAGAAAAAGAAGCAGTTTCCCTTTAGTGTTAGCCTGCCTATTTCGACATAATATAAACATACATGAGGATAAGTCAAAAATATTGCTACAAAATCATAGAAAACGATACTAAAATATTAATATGTGAACCTATCACTTCTTGAGAAATCTTCCACCTAAGTTTATACACTTTAGAAGATCATGCGTCCATCTTTCTAACCTTTGCCTAGGAGTCCTAGCATGGTGCTATAGGATAAGCACTAAACTGCTAACCACAAGGTTGGTGGTTCAAACTCATGAGCCACTCCTGGGAAAATCCATACGGGGTCACTATGAGTCGAAACTGATTTGATGACATCCAACCACAATAACAACAACCCTGGCCTGAAAAATTCTGTTCTCTGATTCAAAACATGTCAAAATAAGGACTCATATCATGTTCCTTTGATATAGTCTTTGAGTTTTAGGTACAAAAAGAAATCGAAAGGACCAAGATCAGGGCTGCCTGGGGGATGAGGTAAGGTTTCCTAGCAGAATTATCAGAGGACAGGTCTTGCTACCCAAAAAGAATGAGCAGGTACATTGTTGTGATGGAAAAACATTCTTCGTCACATTTTCCTGAACTTTTTCTCACCAATGAAGTCTTCAATTTGCTGAAAACTTCTTCATCATCAGCCCTTATGATTATCCTATGTCCTTTGAGAAACTCCGTTATAATTACCCCTTAGGAATCCCACAGAACAGTGGTCGTAAGCTTCTGCGCTGCCTTTCTGCCTGGAATTTAATTGGCCCAGCAGATCTCCTTGAAAGCCTCTGTTTTGATTAGACATTTTTTTTTTTTTTAAATGAAGGTTCCCCAATGAGACTAAGACAACGGAGAGAACTTGTCTGCAGTTATCCACTGATTGTAGAGACATGTTTACACATGTCTTGTTTGGAATAAACCTGAGCATGTATGGAATGGTAGCCTAGCAGCAACAACTGTTGACTTACCCTAGTATAATTTCTGTCTTCCTAATTTCTGGGAATCTTCATTAGTAAGAATAAGGCAATCTGTTACTGCCATTACATTCTTTACTGAGTCATTGGAAAGGCAGAAGTAGAAATGTCACAAACGAAGAGAATGATGTAGTGAAAAGAGCAGACAGTGCCAATGACAACATTAATTCAAGTTTTTAACATATCTACCCAAAATAGAAAAACACCTAAAAAATACAAAAAAGTGGTTATTTCTCTACAAATGCTCCAAATCTTGCGAGTACCCAATTATCTACGAAGAGGTTATGAGAACAGAATATGGAGCTACATTACACCAGCTGGGGCCAAATCCTGGCTCCACTGGAGGGTCTTAGGCAAATTCCTTAACTGCTCTGTGCCATAGTGGTCTTTGTGTAAAACGAAGGTGTACTAACAGCAGCTACTTCAAAGAACCACTGTGAGAAACAAATGAATTCCTATGTGTCAGAGGATCTTTTATAAAGGACAGTTTACAGTAAGCATAAGCAATACACAGTGTAAACTGATAGTAAGTGAGTAAGTTAACAGCAATAAATTGACAAAGGAACTTTACATTTTGGAAAGACTAACATTTTGTTTAACAAGGTAGTCGGTTTTTTGAGAAACAAAAGAGATAAGATTAAAAACTTCAAGTCAAAGCAGCAGAAATATATTTTTGATAACTTCCCTCATTTGATTTGGAGCAAATGAGATGACCACCATCTAGCTTTTCCTTATAAAAGCTAATTAGAAAGAATTTCAAATTTAAAGAACTAGAAATTTGCCTAATTAAAAAATTTCTTATGTGAATTACTCTGCTTTTCAAAAGGTAAAACCCTGGTTGAGTTTGAGTGCTACATGTAGCTGGATTCTGTATCCAGATAGGATTAAAAAACTTACAGGAAGTTTTTTAAAAAATACCAGTAAGTATTATAAGTCAAAGATCAGGTGTGAAGGACTGCATTTTAATTTTATGAATGCAATGTGGGAAAGTTCCTCATTTTGCAAAAAGGATTTACAGACCAGCAATGTAACCAACAGGACTTCAATTGTGAATGAGCTCAGGGATTAAGATCAGTGTACACCAAAGGTGTCAAATCTTGACAGTGGATACCTGTGGGGTCCTGACAGCTGGTCAAAACAAAACAAAACAAAACGCTACCTACTGTGCAGCAAAGATGTACTACAGAGAAAAATCATTCAGTAAACCAAAACCTGAATGAAGATCAAGTCAGGAATCAAACCTAAACTTATGTCCATCATGCAGTAAATTTCAGCAAGAAAGAGAGAAGGTAAACAATAATGTATGCAGAACCTTGGAACAAAAGGGCTCTGGGATACAGGGACTGAGACATGGTTGGAATGGGCAAAAGAGGGAAAATAATGTTAAGATGCATGGCTGTCTTTTGAATCTTGGTTTCCTTGGCATACCATTATAAAATAGACATTTCAGAGGGAGAGAAAGGCATAGCCAGAAATATCACCGTAGAAAGCTTGTAAGTCCATCTTCTGCCTATAACTGATTGGAATACCTAAAATGGAGCTATAACGTGCCTAATAAAGGAGGCTTCCTTTGGAGTCTCTGCATTACATAAGACCATAGGTGGAAACCTGAACCCCATCCAGAATCTTCTGATGTGGGAAATTTCCACTGGGAATGACAAGCAGACCAGCTTGGAATGGCTAAAAGAACAGACGATACTTCTTGAAAGAAAGACTGACAGGAAAAATACAAAACAATAATGGCAATCCGACCAATTTCTACAAGAACAAGCAAGTTGCTCACCCAGGAGTCATCAAGGCAAGTGGTCGGGTACCCTTAGGGCAAATCCCCTTCCAAAACTAAGACTCAATGGGAATACACGCTCTAATTAGTGACCACGTTCGTCACTGATATGGGGAAGTGAGGGAAAAAGCAATAAAACTACGATCTAAGTCCTATAACATTCAATAGACTCCAGTAACCCCGGATGGAGACCTGGTTGGCTAGTAGTGTGGCAAGACCTGGGGACTCTTGGGCCCAGAGTCAGTGACATAGCCACAGAGGACTAGAGTGGAGAGTGAAGTGTCCAATTGATAAGAAAGGGTATATGCATAAGAACTCCGCGCACCCCCCCCTTGTAGATAATACCCACTTGACCTGGCTTCAATGGCTGATGATCAGAGGTCAACTAGAAGAAGAAAGAAGAGGAAAAAGAGTAATCTGATACAGTTTGATGAACTTGACTTACATCTATGAATGAAGTAGCTCAAAAAAGTGAACAAATCTTTACAGTGAGGATCATTCCCACCCCCTCCATACACAAAGTAGACAGGGATGGGCAACTTGGACATTGGCTACCCAAAATGGGGGCGCTACAAAGGCAAGAAGTGACTGGCTTACAAGCTTTCAAGAGGGAACCTAGATCCAGAGGGCATAGAGGAAGGTAGAATCTCCACTGAGTAGTATCCAATCTGTCTGGACGGGGCTGATGAAAGGAGATGGGGATAGGTCTCTTGTGGTATAATAATGAATAATTGTTATCAGGACTGACTGTGAGGGTTGGAAATGTAAAAGTAGATGTTTTGTAGCAAAGAGGGGAGTGATTGACTTTACAGTCTAGGAGCAGAGGTCCCTAGGACCATCAAGGGAGAAGAGCAGAGAGCGGGACCCTACCCAGAGAAGCAGTGACGCCAGAGATGGAGGCAGAGATGATGATGTGGAGAGATAAAGAGGCCGGGGACTTTAGACCCAGAGAGGGAGAGGGGCTATGTGCTGACAACCGGGGTGCAGGCTTGCAGGGTATACCCTTTGGTTGGTTGATGACACGTGCAGGGGATTGTGATCATGGCAAGGAAATGATATATGATAGGATGAATGTAAAGCTGATGTTCTCCTTTGTAAACAAGCACATAATTCACAATAAACATTTTTTTTTTTTTTTAAAGAGAGAGACGATACAGTGAAGTACCACACAGGATGGTGACGGGGAGGGGGCCCAGAAGCAGCACAAATAGCCACAAGAAAATGAAACATACATGGCATTTCTTCCCCTTGCATTAACTCATGAGAATTAGTCACTCTACTTATCCTTGATAATAAGAAAATCAGTTACAAAATCCTTCCAGAATATATGTATACACTGAATTAAAACATTTACCAAATCTTAAAAATGTGTAATTTCTGTCATATTTTTCACCATTCGGATATATTTTTAGTCTCTGATGGCATGACTCAAAACTAGACTTCTCCTTCTTACTGTGTCTAACAAAAAAGCTACTGATCCTCAACCTTGCTCACTAGAAACTCCGCCCCCCCAAAAAAACAACGAAGACCTGTTTCATCGGTTGACTAACACATGGAACACAGGGAAGCATTGGAGTACCTGACATTGAGCTGTCCTGGCTCCTCCACCGTCTCTGAAGGAGCCATTGTCAAATGGTGAAGGACAGACTGGGGACCAGATGGACTATGGCTCACAGCCAGGAAAACGTCTTCCTGAACCCAGGCAAGAAGGCCGAGCTTCAGAGGATTTACTTCTTGATCTTCATCATTCCCAGATTGCATCCTGTTTTATTCAAGACATGAGCAAAACCTTAAAAGCACTGAAATTTTCCTGAAAAAAAAGCGTGAACCACCTTGTAGATAGTCAATCCTCAATTTCTCTCTAGAGAGATTAAATCTGAGATAATGATGAATACTACAAATTCTAAAGAGAAGGTACACTTAGCTTTAAAATGTTTTTATATTTATTTAAAATTGAGATTCTTTTACTCAGAGTTATCGAAGTTTAAATAGGATACTGAAAGAAACTGATATCACAAGAAAGTTACTGGGCCCAGGCCCTAAATAACATCTACTGTCCTCACTTAGCAACAACTCCACCTACCAACATTCAAACCAGACTCCCACAGATAAGAGGGGGCTTGAAGCAGTTTGTGAAAAAATTCCTTTACTTTTTAGTTCCCTTTTTCCACAAACTTTCTGAAGCCCCCTCATACTTGGGTCTCAGTAGAGTTGATCCTTGTTCTAAGCACCTCATGTCTAAATGACTAGTTAGGTTGAAAGAGGGTTCCCCTGCCTTCTGTAGCATTTATACACATGACCCAGCCACTGTTTCTGCCCCCACACTTAGGAATCCAAGTGACTCCTCTCTGCCCCTTGGCTGCAGTGGTCATCTTCAGCTCATGCTTAGGCAGCTCTATCACTAGCCTGATCTTCTGACCACTCCAGGTCACCCTATCTCTGGCTGTCACTAACTCACCTCACCTCACCACACCCAACAGCTCCAATGGATCAATGTAAGGACACATCTTTTCCATGAAATCTTCACTACATGGCTTGGAGTTATCCTTCTCACAATTTTTTTAAAAAAATGAAACTATATTCTGAACTATCTCATACTTTCTAGTTTGTATAGAGCATACCTAAGGTCTTCAATTACACCTAATCCCTTATAATATTGTTCCAGTGGTAAAATGCATTCTGATTTCTAACCCGGGACCATCAAACCATAGACACCCATAGTCTAGGAGTTTGGGATGAAGCAAAGATAGAGGCTGCATTCTATCTATGAAATAGAATAAATTCTGCCCTGCCATCAGCAGCTCCATCAGTTCCACAGGATTTCTCCTGGAGGTCCAGGAACTCTGGGGGGCAGTTGGTTGTAAGCTCCCTAAGGACTTGGACTCCCTGACACCTCTCAGACTACTGCTGTTGTTAAGTACCATGGAGTCGGTTCCGACTCAAAGCGACCCTGTATAGGGTTTCCAAGGCTGTAAATCTTTAAGGGAGCAGAAAGCCTCATCTTTCTCCTGTGAAACAGCTGGTAGTTTCGAACTGCGGACTTTGAGGTTAGTAGGCCAACTTGTAACTACTATGCTACCAGAGCTCCTATAGGACATTCAAATATGTAAGACTTCCAAGCAGAAAAGTTAGGATCCAGGTATTGTGTCTACCATTTTCCTACTCAACAACAACCAGAGAATAATAACAGTTTTATATAGGACTGTATGCTGGTTTCCTCTGTCCCCATAAGTCTAAGATAACCAAGAATAACCTACTTGTATCTCTTTTCCAGATGCGGTATCGTAAGGGGAACTTTAAAGCCACTTCCACCCACAGCTCCCATTTTCACCGTAGGGTCTGCACATGGACTGTCACCTAGGAAACAAAAACGCAGATACTATTATGGTAAACTATAGAGATTTGGAGTCCTGGTATGACGCTGTGGGTTAAGGCGCCAGACTGCAAAACCATTTGAACTGCAAGGTCGGTGATTCATGCTCACCAGCTGCGCCTTGGAAACCCTATACAGGGTTGCTATTGGTCAGAATTGACTTGACGGCACCTAACAATAACAATAGACATTTAGGGGCCCGTGGTGACACTATAGCATAAGTGTTGGGCTACTAACGCAAGGGCAGTGATTCAAACACACTAGCCGCTCTGTTGAAACCCTATATATACAACGTAGTCAGAACTGATGTGATGGCACTTAAAAAAAAAACCCCAAAACCATACATTTAGTTTATATTGTACAAAGGCTCCTGCAGTTAACAGGTTCTGGTGATATAGTAGGGTACTAACCACAAGGTCACCAGTTTGAATCTACTAGTCCCTCGAAGGGAGACAGATGAGACTTTCTGCTCCTGTAAAGATTCACAACCTCGATAATCCTCAACAGGGTCTCTGTGAGTCAGAACTGACTTGATGGCATTGGATATATGTTGGATATAGAAGGCTGATCCAGCAATCTAGAAAACAATCACAACTCATCCTCTTTCTTAAATCTCCATCTACCTTTCAGTCATTATCAAATCCTGCTTTCCCCATGACATCCTCACCATGCCAGGGGGAGCGGCTACCTCTTACCCTAGTGTCGTTTCCATCACCCACATATTCTCAACAATCCTGCATCCTCTGAAGTCCTAAGCATTCTCTCCTAAGACACCCTCTTTCCATTCTTGGCTCAATTTATTTACTGCACAGCAGCCAATACAACCCTTTATAAAATGAAGACAGAACACAGCACTCCTCTGCTCAAAACCTACTAATAAGTCCTACCACAGAACCAGAGCCAAGGTCTTCCCACCCAGGTCTCTGTCCTGTGACCACCCAACACTCTGCCCTCACTCATCCTGCTGCAGTCACCATGGCCTCCTTGCTGTTTCCCAAGCACAACGGGCATCTGTGTTTCTTATGTTTTACTCCACTTAGAACAGTCTTTCCTAAAATGAATCCACGGTTGCCTCTCTGCTTAAACATCACCTTCCCAGACAGGCCTTCTCTGCCCACCCTCCTCCAGCAGCCCTGCCTTCCAGCTCTCCCAACCCTACCCTACTCCATCCTACCTGGTTCTACTTCTTTCCACAGCACTCGTATTTAGTATATGAGGGGACTTCAAAAAAGTCATGGGAAAATAGAATGAAAAGATACTGAAATTTTCCATTAACTTTTTGAAGTTCCTTCATATTTTTATTTACTATCTTTCTTCCCAACTAGAATGAAAACTCCACAAAGGCAAGGGCCAGAAAAAAGCCTGGCACCTAATTGTTGCTGTAGCTAAGTGCTGTGAACTCACAGCGATCCACTATAGGGATTCTGAGAACACACATTTTTTCAGGAGCAGAAAGTCTCATCTATCTACTTTGAAGGTTTAAAAAGGTCTCTAATTGGGAAATTGGGACATCTAATTTGTCTCCACTCTTCTTCTGAAATGTCTACCACTTGTCTCAAAGTTCTTGTAATGAGTGCTCTTTTCTCTTCAGGTCAGGTACTGGTGGAACTCTGACCTGCTCCTGTCTAAGATCTCAAACTTCAACCTACAGCCTCTTCTGATTTCTTTTAGCCTCGAGGACACCTATCACCCTTTAATACTCACTTGACTGCCTGTACAATCTGGAAGCAAACACCAGCCATTTCTCCACTGCTGTTGTTAAGTACTGTCGAGTCAGCTCCAAGTCAAAGCAACCCTGCATAGAGTTTCCGAGGAGTATCTGGTGAGTTTGAACTGCCAACCTTGCAGTCGAGTGCTTATTCTATAGCGCTAAAGTCTCACCAACCTGACCTCTCCCTACTTTATTTACCATGCCATCACCCAACTCTGGCATTCATCAACTTCAACTCCAGCTACCCACACTAGGGCCAACATCAGAAACTGCTCTATGCTGAAATGCTCATCTCTAAAAATTCTTCTCTATAACAAGATCTCCCTCAACCTTTTCCCAGATTCTCTCATATCCAAACTTTTTACAACCTGTTCTTTTACACCTCACAGGGTTCAAGTTCCTGGATGGTACAACTGGTCTTCTTCTCATCACTACAGACACTCCCCTGGTTCGGACCTTCACATCTGCTTAGACGTTCTGCTACAGCAAGATTAGAAGATGGAGCTCTGTACTGAGGTTTTTGTCCATTCTTGCTCTACCATTAACACCTCAAGGAAATCACAAGCCCTCAGGCATTTTGTTCCCCCTTCTATAAAATAGGACAACTCCATTCCTCACATAGCTCCAAGAAGGGTTTGGAAGATTAATTGAAAATATGTGTAAAGACAATGAACACTGTAAAACATGTCAAAAATGTAGTAATATACTATCATATTTCCAGGGTTGAATTGTATTTTTAAATAACTAGCTCTTTAAGTTCAATAAAGCAAAAAGAAATCCTTTTATAAGCCACAGAGGTGGTGGTGGTTGTCCCGTGGACTCACTTCTAACTCACTGCGAACCTGGATAGGGTTTCCGAGGCTGTAAATCTTTACAGAAGCAGAGCACCTCATCTTTCCCCGCAGAACCGCTGGTAGTTTCAAAGTGCTGACCTTGAGATTAGCAGCCCGACTTGTAACTACTACGTTACCCGATTCCTTATAAACTTCAGTAGGACTTATAAAAAAAAAAAGAAAAAAAGGCTCTCAAGTCAACTGAATATCATAATGATAGTGAAGTCATTTGTAAATTTCAAAATCAGTACAAACACTAGCACTAAGGCAACACCAAACGATAATTTGCTTTTGCCTTGGAGTTGCAGGGACTTGACTCAGAATATCTCAGTAAGTTTTTGAACATACCACATTTATAAACAGAAATCTGGTTACTGGCATCCAGCACAGCGAGCTCGGTCCCCATTTGAGGGTGTGCAGAGAACATGACTTGATTCACAGGTTGTGGGAGTAGCAGTCGGTAGGTGCACATGGGAGGCGGGACCACAGTCTGTCGGAAGACTGTCACCAATACCCGGTCTGCATGTAAAAAAGAAACATGAGAAGTATTGTTACTGTTGTTTTGTGTTCCGACTCATAGCAGCCCTGTACAGGGTTTCCGAGGCTGTAAATCTTTACGGGAGCAGAGAACCTCATCTTTCTCCCGTGGAACAGCTGGTAGTTTCGAACTGCTGACCCTGAGGTTCGCAGCCTGATTTGTAACCACTATGCTATCAGAGCTCCTTTGAGAAGCATTAGGCATGTGGATATTCAGTTTGTAAAACATCTAAACAGCATGTACCGCTCAGCACTAACAGTGGTAGAAAATACACAATTCTTTTAAAAATAATATGTAGCTTGAAGTGAACACGTTGGAGATGTATATAATTACCAAATATTGTAACAGAAATCAAAGGAACCCAAGTTTTGCAAGGGTCAATATAAAAAAAAAAAAACACATGTTAGGGCAAAAACACATGGCTAACACTGCTGTTCACCTCTTCAATGCCAAGGATCAACATTTCACAGCCTTCAAAGGCCAGACAAGTCAATGTGTGAAAGCCATGATATAGCACAACCAAGAACTGGGTGGTGTGTGCCAGGAGGTTGGGCAGATGTGGGAAAATAGGACTTTCAGGACAATGCATTTACCATGTAAGGGTGTTCCCATTCAATTAAAAACAAACCCATAATGAGCAGCAGCAGCAGCCGCAGCACACATACAACCAAAACAGAGAAAAAACTCCCCACTCCTTGAGTCTGACTGCCCCCTCGGCAGGCCTGTGCTCATGCACCAGGCCCGCACTTTCCAGTAGCTTACATCCATCAATGACGACCACATTGGCCAAATCACTCGCGTTGTCTCCCAAGCACCGGTCGGTTGTCCAGTGCCAGTTGTAGCAGAGGTAATGCCAGCCTTGACATAGAACATGCAGCCGGTATGGGATCACGGGGTCCCACATAAGAGACACAGGCTTGTTTTTTCCATATTTGCTAAAGTGAAGATTTTGTTTGAGATACCAGTGGTAGTTTCCAACAGTCCAGAGCTGAACTGCAAAAGGAAGTAAAAGGCAGGCCGTCAGAGACTGGGGAATACAATTTCCTGCTGCCTGCTAGAAGGCACCGGGGCAATTTTTCTTTTAGCATGACCTTTCCCACTCACGAGCCTTCTTTCCAAATTCATAAAATCCCATGTTGTTGTTATATGCCATGGAGTCGGTTCCAATTCATAGCAACCCTGTACATGGTTTCCAAGGAGCAGCTGGTGGGTTTAAACCACCAGCCTTATAGTTAGCAGCCACCCAGCGTTTATCCTATAGAGCCAAACACCAATCCAGCTTCAAAACAGATCTTGAGTTGTTAAATTACTTTACACACATTGTTGTTAAGCGCCCTGAGTCAGTGCCGACTCATAGCGACCCTGTAATAGAGTTTCCAAGGCTTTGAATCTTTACGGGAGTAGAAAGCCTCATGTTTCTTCCACTTTACATATACAGAGTCTTAACAATGTTCCAATTAAAGAACAAGTCCACTGATTTAGAAGTTGGAAAGTCATTTAGAAAACAATCAGGCAATAAATATATTTATATTTTTATAAAGCTATAAAGAGGATTCTAATTTATAGCTACCAGAATTTGTCTTGCACAGTAGTCCTTTGATGAGTACCATTGCAAAGGAGAAAGCACCAATGACTGAACCCCATAAATAATCAAAACCAAACCACTCCACATGGCCACTTCCTCCCCAAATTATCAGTCATTCTACCGTGGAATTAAGGACGGATGAGGACAACCTCAACTCGTTTCAACTACACTCTATCGGGTCTCTCCTACCGTAAGTCTTCGGAGTGGAATTTTCTTCGGTCTGAAGGTCCTCCAGCCAAACTGCCAACACAGAAGAATCTGCATTCCAGAGCAGTCTGTTCACCTAGTGGGGAGAAAAGGTCAGTGGCCTTTAGCCATGTACTCACCTGAAAACCTGTAAAATAGGTGAATTTCTTGCTCTCACAAACCAAATGATCCCACTAACTGAGCTAATCCCTAGCTGTGAATTATTAACCCAGAGTCAGTGAATCAATCTAATCAAGAGAAAAGCATTAGACAAACTCTCGTAGAGAGGTGTCCCACAAAATACCTGGTCATTACTCCTTAAAACTGTCAAAGTCATCCCTAACAAGGGATGGCTCAGAAATCATCAGAGCCAAGAAGTACCTATGGAGACCTGAGAGCTAACTGAAATATGTTATCAAGGGGTCATGGAAAAGAAAAAGACAGGTCTTTTCAATCTAAAATTTTAATTCTGAATACATTATGTTGTTATTAAGTGCCCCTGAGTCACCTCCAACACATAGCAAAATTGTACAGGGTTTGAACTGCCAACCCTGAGGTTAGCTGTTCAGTGTTTATCTCCTACATCGCCATACCAGGACTTCACTTAAAATCAGTAATGATTTTTCTTACCCAGGGTGGCTACAGAGAGGGAGATGCCAAGCTCGAGAAGGCAGTGACAGTGAGAACCTACAAACTGAGCAAGTTACGGGGTCTAAGCTGTTCTCAGCAGCATGAGACCGAGACACAGCTGGGGAGGATTCTCGTAACACTTGTGAAATGTGCTTACCAAAGGAAAGGGGCAAGCATGTATCCTCAGCTGTAGCTAAAGGCAATAAAAACCCCACTGCTGTTAAGTCAATTCTGAATCACCCTGATCCCATGTGTCACAGAGTAACTGCTCCGTAAGGTTTTCTTGCCATAGTGTTTACGAATTGGGTTGCTAACCTCAAGGTCAGCAGTTCGAAACTACCAGCTGTTCCGTGGGAGAAAGATGAGACTTTCTGCTCCAGTAAAGATTTACAGGCTTGGAAACCCTGTACAGGGTCACTATGAGTGGGAACCGACTCCACGGCACACCACCACCACCACCAATCTTTTAGGAGACCACCAGGTCTTTCTTCCATAGCACTGCTGGGTGGGTTCAAACTGCCAGCCTTTAGGCTAGTAGTGTTGTTGTGAAGTGCTGTTGAGTCCACTCTGACTCACAACAACCCTGTATAGGGTTTCTGAGAAGCAGCTGGTGGGTTTGAACTGCCAACTTTATGTTTAGCAGTCCATTGTTTATACTACAGCACCACAGCATGAGTCCAGTGCAAATCTGTTGCTGTTGTTATTGTTGCTGTGTGCCGTCGAATCTGTTCTCAATCATAGTAACACTCGATATAGGGCTTCCAAGAAGCAGTTGGTGGGTTTGAGCCACCAACCTTGTGGTAAGCATTCCAGTGCTTATCCTACAGTGCCACACCAGGACTCCTAGGTACAAAGATTTAATCTAAATATTGTTTTGTGGGAGAAAAATGAGGTTTTCTGCTCCTGCAAAGGTGTACAGCGTAGGAAACCCTACACAGGGAAGCTATGAGTCAGAACTTTCAACAACAGCATTTAACGACAACAACTTACACAGCTGCCAGCTGCCACTGATTCATTTCCAACTCATGGCAACCTCGTGTGTGTCAGAGTAGAACCATGTTCCACAGGTTTATTAATAGCTGATAATATGGAAGGTTGTAAGACTTATCCTTCAAAGAATCTCTGGTGGACATGAACATCCAACCTTTCAGGTAGCAGTCAAAAGCATGAACTGTACCACACAGGGACCCTGATAATAATAGCAACTCGTTTTAATATGATTATTTCTACTAGTTTAATACTAGTTTTATAGTATCTTTGAATCTGCAAATGAGATGACAATTTTGCTTGTATGTGTCACCCTTTAGTAGTACCTGTAAAACTTTGAAATAAAATAAATGTTTTACATAGGACTGGGAAAGAAATGGCATTTCTTCATGGTAACATCTCCTTTTGCAAAAATTCCCATATGAGATGTCACCACTTTCATTACTATACTCTGGAACTTCAATCTACTACTAGGTCAAAATAAACCTCCCCTGCATCTGTGCAAAGTCTTTTAAGTCTGACAGCTGAACAACTCAGGCACCTACCTTAACCTCATCTTTGAGGAAAGGAAGTGTAAACTGTCCATGAAGAAGTCCATTTTTCTCAAAAAACACAACGTCCTGTTGATTGGGTTTGTCTTGTGTAGATGCAATCAAACCACCTGAGGGCCTTAAAAGCAAACTCAGTGTTAGAAAGCCCACATGCAAATAGGGCTAGCCTAACACCATGATAAATTTAGCAAATGATTTTTTTCAGCAAGAATTTCCATCCAGGGAAGGAAATTTTAGATGTTGTGTGACCCTTGGCAAGCATTTCACCCTCATATGGGGCTATATTTGCTCAAAGGAAAATGTGTGGCTTTTTCTAATTTGCACAAAGACTCCATTTGCCCACAGTATATTATAAATTTTGTCTTTATACAAGGGCAGCTTTGAAAAACAAATAAAAATAACAATAATTGTGTAAACCATTTCAAGTTCAGTATCCTATAAAATTGTACTTCTCCATCAACTGTATGATGTTAGCAAATATCCCATACTCTGGCCAGTATTTTCTAAGCCTCTGAATCCACTGAAAACCTCTCCAACTATCTTATCTTGTTCATACTGTCTCTAGAGTTTTCATTCATATGAGTTTCTCTCTTTGCTCTATCATCCAACTGTCACTCATATGCGAAAAGGAAACAAGATGTTTGACACCTAGAGACCTAATTGCTTTGCATTTAGCAAAAGCTACTGTCTCGAAGGCACTTAACAACAACAACAACTGAGACAGAGGAGGCATTTCTTTGATCTACAATCAGTGCAGCTGCAGGCAACAGGCACAAAGGACTACTGGGCCAATAGAGGAGTCAGGCCCAACTCGAAGCCTGCATGTTCCTCAGCAAAGAGATCCTCTTAGAAGGGGGTTTGTGCATTTTCACAAATGATGCAACTTCCCTTCCTGGTATGGTTTTCTGTTTTACACAATGGTTTCACACAGGTCCATCTATAGCCATACTCTATTAAGAATACAGGAGTCCTGGTGTGGCGCTGTGGGCTAGTGTGCCAGACTGCAAAGCCATTTGAACTGCAAGGTTGGCAGTTCAAGCTCACCAACTGCTCCTTGGAAACCCTATACAGGGTCAATATGGGTCAGAACCAATTCGACGGCACTTAACAACAACAACGTAAAATATGTTGGCCTTGGAATGATGAGATCTGTGAAAAGTCCAACATTAACTGTTCAAGTTAAATCCAGACTTCAGTGAACTAAAAATGTATGAAAGACACTTGCTTACAGCCAAATGAAGAAAAGCAAAAATCCCTGAGTTATAGACATCCACATTCAAATGGATCTCCACCACTACCCAGGTTTCCAAGATAGTCTATGAGGAAGAATTTCCAACATTTTCCGCTCCCACTCACTTCCATGCCAGGGCTGGTCCCAGTCCTGCCACAGGCTCACTGGTCGACTGCAAAGCAAGTTCTCGGTTCCACACTCTAACCTTCCGAGCCCCTGGGCAAGAGGTGAAGGGAGAAGCCATTAGGACACACTTTGATAAATTGGAAACTTTTCAGACACTTAACCTTATAAAAACTGTTATGTTTTAAAAAACTAATCAAGCTCATTAAAAATTAACCTTCACATGGAATAGGGCATCTGCAACTAGAACACAGTCAGGAAATGACATATGAGACTGTCCACATGCTGGAAACCTAGTTGTTGTTGTAAGGTCCCATCAAGATGGTTCCACCTCACAGTGACCCTGTGCACAACAAAAACAAACATTGCACCGTCCTGCAAACATCCAATTGTGATTAAACTTGAGCCCATTGCTGCTACAACTATGGCAATCCATCTTGTTGGGGTCTTTCTCTTTTTCACTGACCCTCCATCTTACCAAGCATGTTGTTCTTTTCCAAGTCCTGGTTCCTCTTGATAATGTGTCCAATGTAAGAGAAAAGTCTTGCCATACTCAGTTCTGAGGAACATTATTCTGACTATAATTCTTCCAAGACAGATTTGTTTCTGCTTTCAACATTCTTCTCCAACACCATAATTCAGATGCATTGATTCTTCTATGGTCTTCCTTATTCATTGTCCAACTTTCACATGCATATAAGACAACTGACAATACCATGGCTTGAGTCAGGTGCACCTTAGTCCTCAAAGTAACATCTTTGCTCTTTAACACTTTAAAGAGATCTTTTGCAGCAATCATTTGGTTTCTAGGCTGCTGATTCCATGAGTGTTGATTGTGGATCCAAGTAAAATAAAATCTTAGACAATTTCAATCTTTTTGCCTTTTATTATTATGTTATTTATTGGTCCAGTTGTAAGGATTTTTGTTGTTTTCACACTGTAGTCTTTGATCTTTATCAGTACTTCATGTATTCTTCACTTTCAGCAAGCAGGGTTGTACTATTTGCATATCACAGATTTTTGATGTATCTTACTTCAATCCTGATGCCACATTCTTCTTCATATAATCCAGCTGGTCAGATCACTTGCTCATCATACAGATTGAAAAGTATAGCTATACTCACACCCACCTTCCCTGATTTTAAACGAGTCAGTGTCCCCTTATCCTGTTGTTCGAATAACTGCCTCTTGGTCTGTGGAAACGTAGTTAGTGCCATGCAAAGAAGAATGTTCTAAATATTTATTAGAATGATAAAGGGAAAGAGGGACAGAGCCATGAATGGATGGTACAGAAGAAAGAACATTTAGAGAAGAGTTTGTCAAACACTTCAGGAGCTACCATGGAGAAAAGTGACTGTCTTTTATTCTTGGAGGGTCCAGGTATTGAGGCAGCAGTAACTGGGAAAGAGATTTTATTGTAGCTGAACATAAAAGGAAGGTTTAAAACAGTCTAGACTCTTTATCTCAAGAACTACTGACATCATGAATGTGTTTAAAATACTGTACCTACCAGGTGGGAGCCTGGGCAGATGACCTCAAGGATTCTTACACTTCTGAACTCGAAACTCATTTAATATTGAAAGCAGTTATCTTTCACTTATAGGTATAATTAAAGAAAATGCCACTCAGAACACAAAAAAATTTCAATTTCCTGAACTTAGTAAGATTAAAATTTTTGCTGTGGTTGTTTTACTACAATTTATTTCCATACCTGTCTCTGGGCAAACAACACTCACAGCAAAATATTGCCCATCACCACGCCAGGTAATCTGTGGTCTCTGGTCATCCCAGGGCAAAGCAGACTCAGGCTGAAAGAAGAGGAAACATAAATGTTACTAGGGATTCAAATAAGCCATTGTTGCTGGTGGTGTTAAGTACCGTAGAGTTGGTTCTGACCCACAGTGACCCTGTATATGGTTTCAGAGGAGTGGCTGGTGAGTTCAAACTGCCTTTGTGGTCTAGTGCTTATGCAACAGTGCCACACCAGGACTTCGGTGCTGAGATAGTGTTACAGCTACTAGGGGGCTTCAAAACAGGCGTTGAAAAATTCTATTATCTTTTCATTATGTTTTTCCATGAACTTTTTGAAACCCCCTTGTATAGCATTACCTCCAAATATTGTCACGACCCTTAAAACGGAGACATTTTGTCCACTTTACAGGTGAGAATATTGAGGCTCAAACAGGTTAGAAAATTTGCCATACAGTCTCATGGCTACTTAAAGTGTCATGATGATAATGTAATCTGTACTTTTCCCAAACAAAGAGATGCCACCCTCAGGGGTACGTGACAGTATGTCACAAAATAAACACAGCACATCATCCTGGGGAATTCATTTTACTCAATGACAGTGTTTTTAAAACAATGTCCATAATGTATAAATCCAGATAAAACTGAACAATGTAAAGACATTTAACATAGTGGTAGACACCTGAGGCCACTTCCCCATGTACTGTAAGAGTTTGCTGTGGTCCTGCAACTGTGCCTTCAGGGGCATACTATGTTAGAAGGTTTGGTCATCAGGACATGGCTAAGTGATCTGAAGAATTCTCTAACCCATAGGAACGAAGACAAAGATTTCATCTAAAAGGAAAATCAGAAAACAAACCATCTACTATGTGTACATACGTAGTGGTTATGAATCGGGCTGCGAACCTTAAGGTCAGCGGTTTGAAACTACCAGCCGCTCTGCGGGAGAAAGATGAGGTTTTCTACTCCCTTAAAGATTTTCACCCTCGGAAACCCTGTACAGGGTCGCTATGGGTCGGAACTGACTCGACGGCACTTAACAACAACAACAATAATGTGTACATGTGGGAAAAGTTTAAAAACACGCATGTGAATGAGCAGCAGGGTGGGCAGGACAGCCGCGCTCCGGCGGGGGGTGTGTGCTCCATTTCTGTATGTCATGCTTCATTTCTGTAACTGGGTAGTGAATGAAGGGCTCTGCAGCAGGAGAGATGGGCCCATTACCGAGCTTAACTGGACACCTTAGATTTCCTGGCAGAAAGTTTCATCTGTCTTAATGAAGGCGCTTTATCCATCAGACCAACCTTACCATCTGCATCTGAAAAGCTGCTTGTCTGCCTTCTGATCCATGGAACTGGGTCTCCTTTTTGCCCCATCCAACAGTGATGAACTTGCCTAGAGAACAAATTGAGAACATGCAAAACAACTAATAAGCTAATGAAATGGAAGCAGTTCATCATTAGTCTTCATGAAGTAGTTACTGGCAATTACTCGGTCCTTTCTAAGACCTCTCAGTACCCTGAAAAGTAGTCAATATTTCACAACCCTATTGCCCATATTATATGCAGCAGATTTTGAAAAATGTGAAATGTCCTCACTTTGGAAAGCACTTTACTGCCATCTTTTATATTCCAAGTTCACTTAAAGTCCGAGGGCAGCAATCTAACACACACTTTATAAGTAGGAAGAATGAAGCATGAGAAATTTACACAGTATGTCCATGAACAACAAAACAGAAAACTTAAGAGGTAAGAATAAGACTCTAACTGTAAGCTTTCCATCCACTACAGTTTTTGATCCCCTGTCAGTGGTACAGGGACCGTACATCATGGAATCCAGCCCCTTCCAATTCCAGACATGCCTTGAGGCTGAGACCACCTCAGAACACCAAACTTCTGTCTTCTAGGCTGGATTGTTTCCCTTATATAAAACACAAAGTCAGAGTTGCCAGAACAATGCAGCCCTCCTGTTCCTAGAGGTAGGACCTGTCATCCACCTGCAAAACGTACTAGAGAGGGTCTGGAAGCATCGGCCAGATCCAGGTCCCAGTACTTCCCTCCTGCTGTTGATTCTGATGAGACAAGACTACTTATAATTCCTATAATTTATAAGCCCAGTATAAACATTCCCTGTTTCCTCTGCATAGGCCAATCCAAGTTTTATAGTACTTCAAAGCAGTGCCTACTCTGAGATACCACCATCAGGCTTCTGTGGCACGTTTTCACAGAAAAGGCCAAGGAACAAGGAGTGAAGTAAGAGAACTACTCCAATGCAATCAGACAAGATGTGATGGGGTTTAGAGCATAGATCAGCAAACTATAGCCTGAATAGTGGATTTTACAAAGAACACGGCCATGCCCATCCCTTTAGGTGTTGTGTATAACTGCTTTCACATGAAAACAGCAGATGTAAATAGCTGTAACAGAGACCAGACAACTGGCACAGCAAAAAATATTTACTATCAATCTCTACAGATAATGTCTGCTGACCCCTGGGTGAGAAAGGGCCACACCACTCCTCAGAATAATTTTTGGTACTGACAAACATTTCTAAGACCCAAACTAAAGGGCTCTGTCAGCACAGTGGATACAGCAGCATCAGGCAGCTAAGTACAAGGCTGTGGTTCACAAGGTTTCTCCACAGGAGAAGGATGAGGCGGTCTGCTTCCACAGACTTTCAGCCTTGGAAACTCTATGAGCAGCTCTCCTCTGACCTTCACAGTGGTTGTGAGTCAGAAGACTCAGCGGCAGTGGGTTTGGTTTTTGGGTTAAGGCCTAAACTTGCACGTCCTCAAAATTAAATTTCCCCTAAATTCAATCCCTCTTCCATTCCCCCCTCTCTCCCTCCTTATCCCTTACCTGGACTCTTGCAGTGATCTCCTACCTGGCAACACTGCTTTCATTCTTTTCTCTACCACCAAGAAATATGGTAATCAAAACTGATCTTTCTAGTAGAAAAGTTGCTTTATATCTCTTATCATCAAAACCTCCAATGATTGATCACCTGCAACTCAAGGTCCAAATTCCCACCACAGCACAAACATAATCAAAACTTTGTTGTTGTTAAGTGCCGTTGAGTCGGTTCTGATCCATAGTGACCCTGTATAGGGTTTCTGAGGAGCAGCTGGTGAGCTTGAACTGCCGACCTTGCAGTTCAAATGGCTTTGCAGGCTGATGCATTAACACACAGCACCACACCAGGACGCCATGGTTGGTGGTTATGTGCTGTGGAATCGGTTCCAACTCATAGCGACCCTCTACAGGGTTTCCAAGGCTGTAAATCTTTACGGGAGCAGAAAACCTCATCTTTCTTCCGCGGAACAGCTGGTAGTTTTGAACTGTTGACCTTAAGGTTCGCAGCCCGTTTCGTAACTGCTACGCTATCAAAATTGGTCTCGTTTATTTCATTCCACCCTCCTGTTCTCGCATCACTAAATTACTGACAGCACCTTGAACAAGTCAGGATGTTTCATAGACTTCAGGAAAATGTTTTATCCCTCCTGTGGAATGGGCCCATTCACTTGCTTGGGCTATCCATCTATCCTCAACTCTTGTCTACCCAACACAATTCGGCCCAGAGCCTGCTCCAGCACTGCTTACTCTGGGAGGCCTTCCCGTTTCAGATCTTTCCCCCTCTTCTTATGCTACTCACATACCAGCTACATGACTTCAATACTGCACCTGTGCGTCTCCAAAAGGTGGAAGGCTGACTACTTTACCATTTAATGATCTATAACACCAAACACACATAGTAAGTGTCACAGTACTGACTCAATAAATGGTTTCTGAATAAGACATTGCAGCTTTCTAAATGATTTCTGCAGCAAGATGGCATGAGGCTAGACCTCAGGAAAAGTGTAAATACTCTCTTCCTGACCTATCTCCTCTACCAGGGCAGCTTCCTGGGGCCTCTGACTTGACCACAGTGGCTTGCACGCATTAAGTTTCTCCTCCGCCCGTCATACTCCCAGCCTTAGTGCCTAAAGGACCTCGGCATGATCGCAGCAAGAAAGCAATCTGACTGTTTCTATAAAAGGGCAGATTCAGGTCTAACCAGCAGGACCAGGACCAAATATCAGCCTTTTTTGTTCTACCTCTTGTGTTCCCTTTCTCCAAAACTGTCTGCCAGAAAAGTTCACCCTATTCTAGTTTGCACCGTTCCTCTCATGGAACCCCAACACTAAGCCTTTCCTAGGGCTTGGGGAGCAATGATCCAGGTGCTGGTATCCACAGGTTTCTACTCCCCAGGTTACAGACATGTAAAACCAACCCTGAGACCTGGAGAGGCAGCAAAAGTATGTCTTTTAAGGTCTGAGATGCCCCAGAACTACCTGGCATTTACCAAATGTAAGTTTAAGCTTCAGAGTTCTTGGAGCTTATAATGTGGTTATCAGCGTACAAGAAATGATCAAAGCTGACAAGAGATTTCAGACCACAGAACGTTCCAAACAAGCTGTACTCACTTTCTCCAAAATCGTCCTGGTGGATCTGCTGCTCCAGGATTGGTTCAAAGTCTTTCGTCATCATAATCAGGGTCTGTTGACCTTGGAGGAGTACAGACAAGAATGACTGTGTTTTCATGTAACCAGTTTGCCATTCCACAGATCTACGGTACTATAAGCTACAAAGCTGGGCTAGAGGAGCCTCTGGTCAGAGAAGGGCACACAGAGCTCCCCCTCCATGCACCTGTGCTTTAAAAAGAACCTCTGACTGGATAAGTCACCTAGTGCTTACTCTCAGCTCTCTACATATGTAAAGCTGGACACAAAAGTCCACAGAGCCCTCCCTCCATTAACTTCAACATCTTATATGCCTTTTCAGTTATACATTCCCTTGGCAGTGCTAGTTTACTGAAACTCCCCTGAACTTAAAGGAAAAAAGAAGGACTGCAAAAGGGATTTCTAGAACCTATTTATATAGCAGTTGCTATTCATGTTGTTAAGTGCTGCCAAGTCGTTTCCAACCCATAGTGACCCTATATAGGGTTTCCGAGGAGCGGCTGGTGAGCTTGAACCACAGACCCTGCAGTTCAAACTGACTTTGCAGCCCAGCGCGTTAACCCACAGCGCCACACCAGGACTCCAGTTGCTATTCTTAGAGTACATTTAAAATAATTATTGCTGAGATTTTGAAATACAACTGTGGATTTAACAGCCTCCGTAGATTTCATGACTTTGTTTCCTATTTCCAAAGACTGACAAAAGTTACATGGAACACCTTTTTCTAACAATATACAAAAATATATACTTTGAGTCAAAAAGAACACATTCTGTCTAGATTATAATGCTCCTATCACTGGCTCCTAGAGTCCTGAGGTGGTGCAGTGGGCTAATGCATCAGACTGCAAAGTTGTTTTAATTACAATATTGGTGGTTCAAGTTTACCAGCTGCTCCTTGGAAACCCTATACAGGGTCGCTATGGGTCAGAATCAACTCTACAGCACTCAACAACAAAATCACTAACTCCTGGTGTGACACTGTAGCATAACCACAAGCTTGGTGGTTCAGGCCCACCAGCTGATCTTTGGAAACCCTATACGGGGTTGCTATGAGTCAGAACCAACTCAATGACACTCAACAACTGTTCAAACCCCAACACCCTAAAACGTAAGTCTGACAGACCCTAGGAACAATATTCTAGTAAAAAGTCAGAGTAAGGAACTAGTGGGCAAGCTTACCTGTGGCAAGAAGCACCAACTCTTGGTCAGGGCTCCAACTCATGACAGAGATACCACTGGCTACACTCCCAACACAGTCCAGCTAGACAGATGGAGAAAATGAAAAGGAGATTCTATAATGTCAGTACCTTAGTGAATATTTACTGTGGAGTTCTGGTGTGGCTCTGTGGAATATGCATCAGACTGTCAGCTTTTTAAACCCACCAGCTGCTCCTTGCAAACACCTTATACAGGGTTGCTCTGAGTCAGAACCAATTCAGTGACACTTAACAACATGACTCAAGTCAAAACAATAAAAAAAACAAAACATGCAAACATGAATTTACTCACATTCATTCTGAACAGGTACAAAGAGGGTAGGCATGATAGCAGGCACAGGGAGCTGTAATGACTATGGCCACCCATTCCCTTCCGGGGCGGTCTCATGAGGGAAATAAAAAGAGGTTCTGAAGTGGGATTAGAATTATAACTGGGTTCTCTGGGGAGTAGAATGGAAGCTCAGAGCAGGGGACAACAAACGGCCAGGGAGGCAAAGAGAGTTTTTCTGAGGCAGTGCCTTGAAGGGTGAGAACAGCGTGGGAGATATGAGCTCAGTAGGAAAAACTGTGTGGAGGCACAAAAGAGTAGTCAAAACTCAGACCCAACTAGAGTGTAAGGTACACATACAAGCAGGAATGATGAGCGTAAGGGGCAGAAAGTGAGAGGCCTCGAAGGCACCGTCAAGAGCAGGAACACTGTCTTGTCAATACTGTGAAGCCACAAAGGGAGGGTCAACACCACTGAATGGTGGCCACTGGACTGAAGGAGTTCAGTCATCGGGAGACAATCAATATGCCTTTCAAATATAAGGACTTCAACTAAGCTTGGCAACTTTAGTACTTCTGACCCTGCTCAGTTCACAGGTAAGGCTCTTGTTTCACTGAAATGAAGTTCAGAGCAAAGGTGTCAGATTTAGACCACCAGGGCTCAAGCCTCATCTGAAAACTGTGTAAGCCTGGCCTAGTTACTCAAGCTCTCTTCCTCAATTTCCTCTTCTGAAGAGCAGGGAAATAACAATCTACCTCATAAGGTTGTATTGGTGTTGTTAAGAGTCGTCAAGTAGATTCTGACTCACAGTGGCCATGTACAGGGTTTCCGAGGAGCGGGTGGTGGGTTTGTACCACTGATCTTGTGTTTAGCAGTTTAGTGCTTACCTTACAGCACCACACCAGGACTCCCATAATGGTGTACTGAAGATTAAATGACATTTTGCCTGAACAGCCCTTAAAAGCGTTTCAGGTACACTGTAAACATTTAGCTAATGTATGCTGCTGTCATTAGATGCTAATCACAAGTTCAGAGGTTCAAACCCACCTGCCACTCTCAGAAACCCTACACAGGGTTGCGATGAGTCAAAAATGACTCCACAGCACACAACAACAGCAACAATTCATTATACAAGGAGCCCTGGTGATGTTGTGGGTTAGGTATTGGGCTGCTAATCACAAGGTCAGTGGTTCAAATCCACCAGCCACTTACTCTATGAGAGAAAGGTGAGGCTGTCGACTCCCATAAAGATTTGCAGACCAGGAAACCTCATACATGGTTGGTCAGTCTGCATCAGAATTCACTCAGTGGCAGTGAGTTTGGTTTGAATTTATCAATCATATAATCATTACAATGACACAATTGATGTTAAAAAGATTAAGCACTGAGTAGCTAGAGAAAACGAAAATGAACCATGCAATTATACCATATTTTTCTGCTTATAATGCACCCATGTAAATAAAATGCATAGTGCACACAGGAGAGTAATGCCAACGGGGGCTGCTCTGTTGGCAAATTACTGTAAGAAGTGTGTAATGTTTGTGTTTGAAAAACTGATGCCTTTGATGCTAGGAAGTTGAAGACAGAAATCGAGAAACACCATCTGAGAGCATATGTCAAGGTAAAGAAGGAGGCAAATGGATGTACTCTGTCTCCCCTAGCAGTTTAAAAATCTGTACATAATGACAGTGTAACCCTTTATATCTGTAGATCAGGGACTCTACAGTTCGGCATCAGGGTAGGGTTAGGCAGTTGTTCATAACCAAAAACCTAAGTCATATATACATTTCCAAAGTTATTCTAACTTCATTAAGGACACTAATAAGAGTCAACATAGATACATATGCATACATACATACATGCAAAATCTGATTAGATAGGTACAGAACTCAGACAATAAGCATTAGCAACATCTTTAAGAAAGGTTTCACAAGGAGTGACATTTGAAATGATGCTGTCATTAGTTGCCCAATGTCAGACAACTTTGTATAAGATCAAAATGTTGCTTGGTTTTGCACCAACCTCCACAATCCTTGTTACGTTTGAGTTCATGCTTGTGGATTTTGGGTGGATTCCAAGCTAGAGGATTCAGGTGACATTGAGAGATTTTAATAAAGAGAGATTGATGGAGGATAAGGTCAGTTTGTTAAAAAAAAAATGAAAAATGATGTACACAGTCAAAAATATTTCTTTGCTGAACAGTCCATTACCTTGACACAATAAATATTGTACTAATCACCTAGTGTCTGAGAAGGCCATGTGAAAGGTATTAAAATGGTTGGGGTGGTGGGAATGAAAACACAATAAACTGAGAAATAAAGGTTACAATCCAATTCAGATTCTAGTAAGAGGTGAGCTACACCACCCAAGAATGGTACATTTCTTACTCTTTTTCTTTTTATCTAAAAATAAAGTCAGTTCATCTGTCATTTGTCCATCCTAATTTGGATTATTCTGATAGTTTTGATTAACGGATACAGTAGACAAAAATTGAGTTTCAGAACAAGTCTGAAACATAAGCCAACAATTTTTTATGAAGTCAACCCAACGCAGAGATTCTAATTTGCAAAATGGTTAAATATGGCTACTGATTAGAAAATGTCAGCACAAAACGAGTGGCCTGTTTGAGGACACGGGTATTTATTTCCTCCTTAGGGAACTCTCTGCTCACCTGGTGAGTGCTGAGATTGCAGAGCACAACGTCCCCCGAGGCTGTGGCCACACACACAGACTCCTGATCCAGCAGGTCCTGAATACCAGCAATGCAGCCACTTCCATCTTCAGGCAGAAAACCTTCTACCACCAGAGGAATTTCATTCTTCACCTTCCACCAAATCACATAACAAATTAACCCAGTCTACTTTCAGGAACAACTTATAACATTTCCAGAAATTGTTTTTTAATGCTCCTTTATAATAGAAAAGTTTCCAAAAATGTCTTTTTCTACATAAAAATCAAAAATTTCATATGAGAACTATCATAACTCTATCATCTCTAACAGAGACCATGGCAGGCACTATCATTCTCCACCAATAACTTACTTCTCTTGTGATGGGATCGATTTCAATCAGGCCACGTTCCGAGCCAATGAGCACTGTTCCCAGTTCAGTCCGAAGAGAGAAGCACTGGGGTTTCCCAGCAGCTGGAATGTCCCTGAACTCCAGTGTCTGAAGTAACTTTAGATTTCGCATGATGAAGCAACTCCCAAGAGAAAAGTACAACTATCTCTTGATGAAGCATTAACTGCGAAGAGAAAAAGGAAAGCCGATAAATGACATCATTTAGGCGAGGGAAGGAAGAGGTAAGGAAGTGGTTACTTTGAATAATGAAGGGGGGAACCCATCTATCTGTCACTATGAACCAGAATTGACTTGGTGGCATTGGGTTCTAGTGGGTTATCTGGACAAGTACTTTCATTTGCCCAGCATGCAGATAGAATAAATATGGTGAAAGGATAGATCCCTGGTGCACACCTTCCCTGATTTTAAACCATTAGTAACCCCTTACTCTGTTAGAAAGACTGTCTCTTGGTCTATGTACAGGTTCCTCGGGAGCACAATGAAGTCTTCTGGATTGCTCATTCTCCAGAATGTTATCCAGTTCTTTATGAGCCACACAAATACCTCGGAATGGTCAATAAAGCACAAATAAACTTTTTTCTGGTAGTCTTTGCTTTCAATCAAGATCCATCTGACATTAGCAATGACATCCCTTGTTCCACATCCTCTTCTGAATCCGGCTTGAATTTCTGGCAACTTCCTGTCGATGTACTGCTACAACTGTTTTTGAACTACATACAGAAAAGTTTTACTTGCATGTGATATTAATGATATTGTTCAATGACTTCTGCATTTGGATAAATCATCTTTCTTTGGAATGGGCACAACTATGAATCTCTTCCAACTAGTTAGCCAGGTAGCTGTCTTCCAAATTTCTAGATGAATGAGGGCCTCCAGTGTTGCATTACTTTGTTGAAACATTTCTTATTTGTAGTCCATCAATTCCTGGAGGCTTGTTTCTCACCAATGACTTTAATTCAGCTTGGACTTCTTTTAATACCATCAGTTCTTAGTCACATTGTACCTCTTGAAATGAATGAACACCAATTCGTTTTGGTAGTGATTCAGTATTTCTTCCATCTTCTTTTGATTCTTTGTGTGTCATTCAATATTTTGCCCAGGGAATCTTTCAACATTGAAAATTGAAGTTTGATTTTTTTTTTTTTTCAGTTCTTTCAGCTAAAGAAATGCTGAGCGTGTTCTACCCTTTTGCTTTTCTAACTCTAGGTCACTGCACATTTCATTATGATACTTGACTTTGTCTTCTTGAGCTGCCCTCTGGAATTTTCTGTTCAGCTTTTATTTCATTTCCTCCTATCATTTAGCTTCTCCATACGCAAGAGTAAGTTTCAGTCTCTTTATATATGTATTTTGATCTTTTCTTTCTTTCCTATCTTTTTAATAACCTTTTCTTCATGTAGGATGTTCTTGATGTCATCCTGCAACTCTTCTGTTCTTTTTTAGCCATTAGTGTCTAATGCATCAAACCTGCTCATGAAATGGTTTCTAAATTCAGGTGACATAAACTCACAGTGAAATTTTGGCTCTCCTGGACTTGTTTCACTTTTCTTCAGCTTCAGTCTGAACTTGAATATGAGCAATTGATGCACTCACTGTTCCATAATCAGCTCCTGGCCTTGTTTTGTCTAACGATATGGAGTTTCTCCAATGCCTCTTCTGACAGATGTACTCAATTTGATTCCACTGTATTCCATATGATGAGATTCACCTATACAGTTACCCGTTATGTTGTTTAAAAAAGGTATTTGCAATGAATAAGTCTTCGGTCTTATAAAATTCTGTCATGCAATCTCCAGCATCGTTTTTATCACCAAGGCCATACATATTTTCCAACTATTGATCCTTGCTTTGTTTCTAACTTTTGTGTTCCAATCACCAGTAATTATCAATGCAGATTAATAGTCTCAGAACCCTAACAAGCAGTTCTATTCTGTCCTATAAGGAAGCTATGAATCGGACTTGACAGAAAGGCAGTGGGCTTCGGTTGAGTTTAGCATAGGCACTGTTGTTTGTGCCACCGAGTTGATTCTGACTCATGAATTGACGGAAAGGCAGTGGGGGTTTGGTTGAGTTTCGGATCCACTGTTGTTTGTGCCACTGAGTCAATTCTGACTCACAGCAATTCCATGTGGCAGGGTATCCTGGGCTGTAATTTTGAAAGAAGCAGATCACCAGGTCTTTTCCCCACAAATCCTAAATGGGTTCAATCTGATAACCTTTCTGTAATGCTTAGCCTTGCACCACCTAGGTTCCACTTAATATCTATTAGGCAAATTTATAAGAGCCCTGGGATGCAGTAGTTAAGATGTTTACTTACTAATGGAAAGACTGGCAGTTTGAACCCACCAGCTGTTCCACTGGAGAAAAATGTGTCAGTCTGCATCTGTAAAGATTTACAGCCTTGGAAGGCCTATTGGGCAGTTGTATATATATATATATATATATAGTCATGATGAGTTGGTATCAACTCGACAGCAATGGGCCTTAGGTAAATTTATTTATAAGTTGGTTATATAAGCTAATTTAAAAACAAAAATTGAGACAAAAGATGTAAATAAAGAAATGTATTTCTTGTTCCCAAGGGTGGGAACCAAACCCAAACCCATTGCCATCGAGTTGACTCCGACTCACAGTGACCCTCCAGCTGTCCTTCTCCTGCAGAAGGGTAGCAAAGACAAAGTAAAATTACAACAGCTTCCTTCAAAAGGATGATCAGCCTTTGAAGAACTCAATGACCTCATAAAACGACTTTCAATAACTCCCCTTACTGGCCAGGATTTTACCAATACCACAGAAACAGGTGAGAAAACAACAGGAACTTGCCTTTGGTCTGGCAAAATCAGACTTGCTTTCATATAGAATGTTATCTAACTAAAAAGAATCCTAACTGTTCAACGTGCTGGATTTCTACATTCAAATTTCTTTACAGTTTATGACTGGACATCCCTAACTTGAGTCAGAGGTAGCAATTAGATAATACCGCATCCTAATCCTAAGGCAGTTCTCAGCATCTATTTTCTATCTGAGACTCAAGGGCTAGCGTTGAGTCAGCCCCTACACTACATAGCATATGTTAAGAGTAACATGAAGGACATGACATACAAAAAGTTTCAAAACCAAACCCATGATCATCCAGTTGATTACAACTCATAGTAACCCGATAGGACACAGCAGAACTGGTCATAGGGATTCCAAGACTGTAAATCGTTTAAGGAAGCAACCTCTCCCCACCCAAGTCTTCATCATTGTCCTGCAGAGTGGCTGCTGGATTCAAACTGCTGACCTTTAGGTTACCAGTTAGATAGCTAACAGCACCACAAGGGTTCCTTTCAGAGAGGGTTCAGAGGAAGATAGAATCCTATGTGGGGGGGGTAGTGAGGAAGACAGTCAGCATAATGGCATTACTAAGCTTTGCTGACAATGAAATGCAACAACTCCTGGAAATGATCTGAACCTGGATTATTACACAAGGCAGGTTTTTAATTTAGAGCTAATTCTAATGCCTTAGTGTATATAAATACTGGTGTGGTGCCGTGGGTTAGTGCACTGGACTGCAAAGACACAAGGTCAGCAGTTCAAGCTCATCAACCGCTCCTCAGAAACCCTATACAGGGTTGCTATGGGTTGGCACCAACTCGATGGCACTTAATAACAAGTATATAAAAAGTTTGGGGTTTACAAAAATATAAAGTGTTCATCTTTAAATGTTATAAAGATGATCACTGAGCTCTATCTGAAAGGGCAGATTCAAGATCCTAGAATACCCAGCAAGATCTAAGGAAATAAACAAAGGGTGGGGTAACAAATAATCCATCAGCCACTCTGTGGGAAAAACATGAGGCTTTCTGCTTCTGACAAGATTTACAGCCTTGGAAACCCTATACAGGGGCAAGGTGTGTAGTCTCCTGACTGTCTTTAATGGTGGTGTCTCTGACAGTGATCACACATGGGCAGACCATCATGGCTTCATTATGCCTATGTTAAGAAGCTGGAAGGGTGCAGGCTGTTGTTTAGCTTTCCCAGTGTCCCCTCACAATGACCCTTCACTTCTGCAGGGCTCCTATCACCGTGAGGACCAGTCTCTACCCCCAGAGGTACCTGTTCCAATCAGGCAGTGCTCCCTTCAGAGGTGCCGGCACCTCCCCTAATTCCTGAGGTAGCAACAACAGAAGTCTCACAGCGCCCCTCCTGCAAGGTCTATTAGACCCTGATAACCCCAACTTCTTCTCTCTGTTTTGTCGCTCCTAACCCTTGCTTTTTTCAGTTACTGTATCTGTGTTACCTCACGATCCCCTCCTTAGTTCTTGGTCCTCCCATAGCTAAATAGCCAACCTACTATATTCAATTCTCTCTCTTGAAATACTGTGATTTGTACTTTCCGGAATGAACTCTGGCAAACTCAGCAAACAACCTGAGCTCTCAAATTACAGAGTGCAGAGCTGACCACGGTGAGCTCTTTCCTCACCTTTGGTCTCAAAACTAACTTCTCTGAACTTTTTCACCCATCATCCTTTTTTAACTTCCTTATCTTTTAAGAGGAAGAAGTGATCTCACTGCTACCCAAGACTAAGAAAGAAGAAACTTCTGAACTTTGGATCTTCAATCTTCAACCTCCCCCCACCCAAGCTTCATTGATTCAACTTTTCTGTTCTCAAATATACTCTAGGCCCTCCCCCGCACACACACACACACACACACACACACACAGCTAGGTCAATCTTGGATCCTCTCCTAACATCCTGACACCACCTCCATTTTCTTCCCTTGCCCATTCATCCATTCTAATCATCATGCTCATGACTACCAATACTAAACAGACCACTCATTTGACATTGAGATCAAATTGTCCACCTCTGGACGCCCAAAACACTAAACTCATATTTTTCAATCTTGGTGGCTTTGAACCACCAGGTCGGTAGTTCAAGCTCACCAGCGGCTCCTCAGAAACCCTATACACAGTCACTATGAGTCGGCAGTGACTGGATGGCACTTAACAACAACAACATTATCACTGGTGTGGTGCTGTGGTATAAGCACTGGACCAACCAGCAAGATGGGTTTGAAATGCAAGGTCAGAGGTTCAAACTCAGCAGCTACTCCTCAGAAACCCCATACAGGGTCATTATGAGTCAGAC